TGCTCGATTATTTTAACGCCCACCATGCTGAATGGCTTGGTTACCGTTTAACCGATCATGCGGGTAGATCTGTTTATGACTTTGCCTTGGCATATGGTCTGACACAACTGGTTACTTCGCCTACGCGCATCCCACATGTGGAGGGTCATGTACCTTCCCTGTTGGACCTTCTGCTGACCAATCATCCGGACGAATATGAGATCTCAGTTGATGCCCCTCTTGTCTCTTCAAACTATTGTCTGATCCGGAGTATGGTGCCACTCACGCTCCCATCGCAGTTGCAATCTGAAGTTTGGCGCCGTGTTTGGCACTATAGGTCCGCCGATTGGGACGGGATGCGGTCTTATTCGCATCCTACCCTTGGGATCGGATTTGCTTCTCGTCGAATGATTCTAAAGTTGCTGCTGATTCTGTCACTGATGTGGTACTTTAGGCAATGAAACTATTTATTCTATCATCTGTGGTGCCTGTCGGAGGCAGCAATTGCTGATATAGCGGTATTGGAGGCATAACTCAGCCATGGTTTGGTCACTCCTGTAAAATTGCATCACGCTATAAGCAGGAGTGCTCCTGGGCCTGGGCTAATGCATCAACGTCCCGGGATGTAGACACCAGCGTTCTTAAAAAGAAGTATAATTTTGCCTTCAGGTCCTTAAAAAGTGTCATTTCCAAGGCAAGGTCTGAGCAAATCGGCAGTATTGGCGAGAAGCTAGTTCACCTTTCCTAGACTTCTTCAGCTAGACCAGAATGCACAGGTTCCCGAACCTGTGCAATCTGGTCTTTCGCCATGGCTGTCCAAGGGAACCTCTGTCAGCCATTTCTGCCATTTCTGTGTGTGAAAATGCGGTCATAAAGGAGCATGTTAGACCTGAATTTGAATGACAGGGTAAGAAATTGTGTGACAAAAGTGTGGTTTGCAAGATGATGTTGTGATCCGGATTAAGAAAGGAATGCTTCGGTGGTTTGGTCCTATAGAAATAATAAATGAGGAAAGAGTGACAAAGCAAATCTATGTGGCAGAAGTGAACGGCAGAGTCGGGAAAGAACGCCCTAGGTGAATGTTTATTGATCAAATTAGTGATATATTGAAAATAGGCAAAATTAAAAGTACTTTTGACCAACGGCGGTGTATGCGTAGGTATATGGATGTAAAGGAAGCCAGAAAGATACGTCAGGATCGTGCCAAATGGAAGTCCGTAGTTTCTGCCTACCCATCTGGGTGATAGGCGTGAGTGTTTATGTATGTATGTATGTATGTAACGTCCATCTCACGCCTATTCTTGTAATTATTGGGAATACCATCTTCGAAGTTTTTGACGATGTCATTTACTCAAGATCGCTCGCTCAGCTTGTAAATGGAGAGAGATTTATTCGCAGTTTTTATTCGTGATAGATATTCTAATGAGCATATCCGCAATAGAGAACCTGATAAACAGAGGTCAAAGGATCATTAAGCTGAAATGACAATGGAGCAGCCCATATAGCTCGTAGAACCGACAACCGGTGGTATAAAGTTCTCGAATGGTAGCCTAGTACCGGTAAGCGAAGCGCAAGTTTTTCTTTATTTGATTCAATCTGTCATATTATTTGGTATATTTTAAATTTAAATTGTTCCATTAAAATGCATCTTGAGGGCTTGAAGCATGCACCGATGAAAGAAATGTATGACTTTTTTTAATTTGGGTCAGAGAAGGGTCAAGGCTTATATCTTTGTCTGTGAAACAAGAATCAACCCTTTTGCAGCTTTTAATTTTATAAAACATTTCATGCATAATTTTATTTTTGAGCACAATTTCTGAATGTTATTCATCAAATAGCAATATGCATTGATAATAAGATTTAGGGAAGTTGTGCAATTTCGTTAGAACTTAAAACTATGTACAGACTCTATAAAATTATTAACAACCTTTGTTAGTAGTTATTACTTAACTTGCAAATGTGCCAATTTTAATATTATGTATCAGTTTACTTGTAAAATAATTAGTGACAAGAAAACGACTGTTTGTATCAAACTGTGTCAAAAGATACAGTACCATTTATAAATATTGAACATCGTTACTGAGTTTTGATGCCAATGAGGACACGTTCGTGTAAAAACTTGACAAGCTTAAAATGGTTGCGCGCGCATTTGCCGCCATCTTAACTTTCCCTCCCTCTCCCGTTATACTGTAAAGGAGGTCCCAGGACGTAGGCAACAGCTGTGAGCCCGAAACAGCTTAACTCCGAGGGCTACGTTTTAAAACTAGATTCATTAGTTTATTATAAACGGCAAAAGATTTTGAAGCAAGGGAAAAATTAAGAAAGGAAGTAAATATCTTTGTGCCAAGTGTTGGAATTGTGTAGGAGTGGATTACGAAAGAGCCGTTTTCAAGTATCGATTTTATTGTCATACCAACAGGCTTACGGTGTTTCTGACGACGTTTTGAAAGTCGAAGAGTTATTTAAAAAAATTACAGTGTTTTTAATCTAAAAGCAACGAAGTATCTACGAAAATCAATACTCCCGTAAATCTCCGGTATTTATGCCCTTTGCGTGATGCGAATCTAAAAGAGATAGCTAGAGGCAGCGTGTATTGTTACATCGTCGACTATCATTCTATTGATAAATTATAAATAGTGAACCACTCTTTTTAAATTCACAAAAACTAAGTAAAGGTCAGTATTTTAATAGTATAACATAATAATTTTAATCTTTAAATATGTTTTTAATATTAATGATAAATTGATTTGAAATTGAAAATTGCTCGTCTATATCGTTTCGTATAAGGTAGTACTGTAATTAGGTAGTACATAAAAAATAAGAATTAATTAAATGTATAATTATATTATGATTATAGAAAGATTAATCTTTTAAATAACATATTGGGTTTTGTATAGATTTTCTCTTAGAAATAAGATCATATTTTTTCTTTATCGTAGCACGCCTACGACGGTTGAAAGACGCCTACGCAAACACCAAATTCTGTAGCTTATCTACATATGTTATTTTCTTAATATTAACGATATAACTACGGTATAGCATTAAATCTTTATCGAATTGTTTGACTAAGTTTTGGCAAAATAATACTAAAATAATACTTATTTTATTCAAAATTCTATGAATATATTCTTTTATGATATAACGTGTAATTGCATTTTTAGTAAAAGAAACGGTAAAAGATAAAGTGAAATCGGTGGATGTTTATTAGCTATAGAACTGAAAAAAAGAGAAATAAGAGGTTCCAAATAAAAAAGATTTCATTATTTTCTAATGTCACAAATACGTAAATGTATAAAAAAATAAAAAAATGTAATACAACTCCTTTTTAAAGTTTTTGTAGTTTATAACAGTTGTCAAGGACCTAATAATTTACCACCTCCAAAACGTCACTTGTTTTCTATAATGTATTAAAAAGAGTGATAAATAGGTAAAAGTCCACCTGATAGTATAATGGCTTCAGTATCATATGGACGAACCATCAGAGTAACTTTACACAAAAAAATGTCACACTAACTACTGAGATCTAAAATGAAACACCTTACAGTGAAAATTAACTATTATCAATTGATACTCATCATGTATTGTTATGTATTTAAAATGTAATGAGAAAAAAATATGGCAATAATCTATTATATTAATTACAGTATGCAGCATTAAATAAAAGTAAGATTAACTGAGTATTTTTTTACAAATTAATGTTTTTTATCAAAAAGTAAGGCGTATAAATCCTTTGAGTCTCCGTAGTAGAATTTGATAAGCAGAGATTAGGTGCACGCCTTAAATTTCAAAGCACAATGATACAACTCAGCGGGGAACACTGAAGTTGTTAATTAAAGTTAAATTAAAGTTATAAGTGCTGATTTAACACATGCTCGGCGATGAAGAAACACATTGAGAGGAAACTTACAGGTCTAAATACGAAAATATGTAGTGAGAAGCCCGCGGCGTGGTGTATCTGTACACATATTTTGTCATATTTATAGAGCTAAAATAGTTTTAATAGATTATATTATTCGCATATATTAATCTTAACTAATTAAATATTTTTAGTAGCAATTAATTAAAATTTAATTTAACTATTAAAATATCCGAATCGCTTTCTACTAACCCGTTAAAACGTTTATGTTTTCATTATATTTGAAGTATATTCCATATAAAAAAAGTTTCTTTTTTAATAATGAGAACTAAAAATTAACCATATCATTTTTAATACCAATGTAGACCGTAAATCTAGTTATCTGGTTTCCATTTCCTTTATATCTTACTTATTTTTTTATTTTACTAAACTGTATCACAGAAGAAACATAATTCGTAACTTATAAATAATTAAATCAATTTAAGACGCATTTTTTATGATAACGTTTTCAGTTTTCGTGATAATGGAATTCGATCGTCTAAGGTGTTATTTTGATCTGGTTTCTTTAGTAATCTTTAATTTATACCATTCACCGGCTCTGTAATACTCGAATGTGCTTTGCTAAGAACTTTATACTTAATAGAAATATATTGTAATTGAAATTAAATACACTAGGCGTAGGAAGTGTGATAACAAGCTATCTAAAAATATATATTTTGCTTTTTGCACAACAAAAAAGCTGTTTAATCGATATTGCTCTATGTGCTGCCAGCGATTAGAATGCATTTCCAGTTAAAGTCAATAGAGATAACAAAGTGCTGACTTTTAATGAGGGTACAGTGCTTTTGTTCATATTTGAATGTTAAAACATTAAACATAAAGTTGATTTTTAACGGTTGGTAGTCATGTATAAAACGTAACTGCGTATTTGAATAACTAAAATAGTTTATTCGTTAGTGGGAATTTACGTTAAGCAGTTGTGTCACTAATCAATGATTTGAAAATGGATGTTAATGATAATATAACCAATAACAGTGATTTTTATTCAGAATATAAAACGCAACAAAATACTGAGGTACTTATCTTGCGAGTTTTCATTCAGCGAGATGTGCCTGTCTATATATAACCGAATGTCTTGGTGAAGATTTACGTCTTATCATTGTAGATGGGTGGTTCTGATATCAAATGGCAAAAGGATGCTGCAGACCAGAATTTTGATTACATGTTCAAGCTGCTTATCATCGGAAATAGTTCCGTCGGAAAAACTAGGTATTATCTAATTCTGCATAATATATACATTTAGCAATAAAACATTACCATAAAAACAAAACTCAATTACAGATCTTCTTTAGCATAAATATGTATTATTAATTTTATGCTAGCACAGCGTCTTGACAAGATTATAAATTATTCATCAATTGTGTGACTTCTTTGTAAATATAAAGTGAAAGTTGAGATATATTTTCTTTGCATTTATTCTATTTAACATGCTACCAATACCGTTTGTGTTTAATTTATAATTTCAGTTTCCTATTTCGCTATGCGGACGATTCCTTCACTTCGGCCTTCGTGTCTACTGTTGGCATTGACTTCAAGGTGAAAACAGTCTTTCGCCACGACAAACGCGTTAAACTTCAGATATGGGTGCGTTTACTAACTCAACTCCTTGTCAACGTAGATGATATATTCATCATTGAACAGTATTAAAATTTGTAGATGTAATGTATTGCCAAAAGGATGCGGAAATATCTTATACGGGTATCTTATTTGTGAATTTAAAATTGTTCTGATTAAGAATTATTTATTCCAAGTTCTCCATCTGTAAATATTGACAACATATAAAAAAGGCTGTAATCCCATACTATCGCGATTTTTGACGAAATAACCAATATTCTTTATCTTTATTTTTATTATAATAATTTAATCTCGTTCTGTCACTACTCCCCAAAAATACGTAGACTTATTGTATATGAATCACACTACGGAAACACGCTATACATGAATCAGGCATCGTGGATTTGGTAAATCATCCTGATATTAGAAAGGCCAATGTCCAAACCGTGGTCAACATTTAAATATTGAATATCTGCACAGACGATATTACAATTACACAAATTGTGTGTACATTAACACAAAGGCATTTGCCACCACACTTGCAATCCACCTGTGAATTATGTAACCCTTCGCCGTAAATTGAAAATCTTATAATTTAAACGACCATATTATATGTTACTGTTATCGTTTACCGTTACGGCCTACTAAAATCACTGCAGATCATAGGTCTCCGCATAGATTGCCTCATAGAAGTTTTTTATGACTATAGGAATATTTGCCATAGCTGCCACGCTTGGCAAGCGGGTTGTCAATCACAGTTTTTTATTTTCAGTCGTTATTAGGGAGACGCTGTTGCCCATCTCCTGATTTGTTTGCTTCTGTCGCCTTTTACGACACCCACGGGACAATATGGGGTAGTGGATATTCTTACATACTTAATTATATAACAGAATCGGTTTCATATTCAACTATACTTTTTACAGGACACTGCAGGGCAAGAACGTTACCGTACTATAACAACCGCATATTATCGAGGAGCTATGGGTTTTATATTAATGTATGATATAACTAATGAAGAAAGTTTTAACAGCGTTCAAGATTGGTATGTTTCGAAGCTTTATTTTATTTATTATTAGATTTATAGATATAAAATAGAATATAAAAGAAAATATTTGTGAATTAAACTAAAAATAACTTAAATCATAAATTTTTGTATAACAATTATATATGAAAATAAAATAAACTGAAGTAAACGTGGTTCACTGCTGCCAGTATGAGAATGCTTAAAGTCGCTCAGTGAATTGTGGTTGGGACTATACTAGGAGTTTCTATGCGTTATAAAATTCATAACGAATATTTATATGCGAATTAAACTCAGGGTAACCAACATAGCCTAATATATATGTTAATAAGAGGTAAGCTGAAGTGGCAAGGGGCCTGCCAAAGAGCTCGAAGAACCGACAACCGATGGGGAAGAAATGTTTTTCAATGCCAGCATTATACTAGTTAGCCGAGTGTAGGGACCCTCATTAATTGAAGTGAAGACTTGTTAAAAGATTCGAAAAGGTGGTCGATGTAAAGTTGCTCTTTTCTGATAAATTATAAAGACAGTTTTTTGTATAGATTTCCAGAGAATAATGTTTTCTATTTTAGGTGTGGTTTTTGCCATCCCTGTTCAGACAACACAATATTTTGGATTTTAATTATTTTTAACGAATCCTAAGCGTGTTTTATTGGATTCATATCAAATAAGGACACCTTAAAGACATATTTGACTTGATCAAACATTATTCTGAAATTGTTGATTCTTTTTGGAATCGAATTTATTTGTTGTATAGATTCCTTTCTTCAATTATCAGTGTATAGAATTTTCTGCGAAATTTAACACTCATAGCAAAAAAATTTTTTCTGTTGAAATCTATTCTCACACGTGGTAGAGCCAAGCTGCAGCTATATTTATAGTATAGTTGTAGCACGAATGGGTAGGCTTGACCAGGGAAGGACCACGCTCTCACAGAATACCAGCTTAGAATAGCAGCTTAATATAATGCTGCTGTGTTTCGTATGGTGAGTGTAGAGAACCGGAGACCCTATCTACTGGTAAAGAGGCATTCCATCTTAGTCCTCATGGGTGACAATGCATCAGCATTTTGATTCGCAAGCGAGGAGAGATGTAGATGTCTATGGGTCTCAGCAACAACTTACCATCAGGTGGGCTGTATGCTCGTTTGTTACTCTATTCCTATGAAAAAAAAGTTAAGCAGACCGTATTAATGAGCAAATCCGATACCGTAAGCGAAGTGAACGTATCCATGTGAACCTTTTATTTTCATTACAATGTCAATGCATATTAGTTTGTGAGTAGAAGTACGCGCTATGTTAGGCGTATTCACCCTATACTGTCGTTTAAATGTTGTTTTCCATCTTCGTGCATAATAGCAGAGCGGGTGAAACTCCTTAGTGCAAATTCTCAGTCAGACCAATCTCAGCCACTCCCTAGAGCTCTAGACCCAGTTGTGAAGGGTTCCTAATTCCTTTTAGCAAAGCAAGCACTTCTACACGGCCTTCATCATTATATGTGCAACCAAGACCCCATCCCTCTGCACTGAATCGTCCATGCTGAGACCATATAGGGCTGGAAAAACGAGCATTGAAAATCACCAGCCTTCCCAACCCAAATATCAGTTCTGGAATTTCACTGCACTGCTAGCTTTATGCTTTTTTATTCGCTCAATTTGTAGTAAGCCGGTCCATAGGCACCTACCAAACTCCATCCTCCATACTAAAAAAATCAAAATGCAGATACGTTCGTCACTTCCGAGGACGTAAATAGAATGCCTCGTGAACATTAAAAAACCAGTAACTAAAAGGAACCTCTATTTATTAGATAATTTTTAGGTTACCGTAGACAAACCAGCCAGGATAGGCTACTAGCATTTTCTAAACACATAACACAAATGCAAAAAAAAAATTTTCGTTACGTTTTTTATCAGAACAAGTAATAACAAGTCGTAAAATTAAAAATTTGTACAACCGATTTCAATATAACTTATTAAGGATAACTTAAAAACGACTGATTGACCTTGATCAAATTTATACGGGACTACACTAGAAGCACCAGCTTTCAACTTTTTTCTTGATAACGATTTTTCAGTGATAAATAAAATATGACTTACACTAAAAAGTAGTTTTTATTATATATATATATATATATATATATATATATATATATATATATATATATTTATATAACCCTAAATTACTTATATATTGTAAAAATATATAGTAATAAGTATCTAAAGTTTTATGTACTATATTTTTATACAATTATTAATTTTACGGATTTTAAAAGTAATTGGCATAGCCCAGCGGATCAGTACTTAAGTGGTAACGAATCGTTCACATGGCTCAAAGACCCGACAACCGATGGTGTACAAAGATTCTCGAGTGGCTGCCTCGTAATTTCAAGCGCAGTGTTAAGTGAACTCCACTAGAAAGAGTAACGTGAAGCGTAGCTGGATATTTATAGCGATGGTCTACGTTGTGATGAGCTTTGATGAATGATGATTAATTAACGTTAATGTTAGATTTTTAAATTATAATATAGTAACAAACGAGCTAATAGTTCACCTGATGGTAAGCAGATAATGATTATTGTAATCAACTACATCGTTGGTCTAGTGTTCGAGGGTACCTGCTAATCAAGTTGGCAGCCGGAATTGGTTCAAATCAATGATTGGGTTTTTCTGTCAACAAATTCTCAGGAGTAGCCTGAAGTCAGGAGTTTGGCGGTGTTTCAATGCCGCGCCTCAGAAAATACGTAAAGCTGTTAGTCCTGCAATTGATCTCTCTACATTCGTTTCGGGGTACCGCACCATCGCACTATGCGAATAATGGAATAGAGATTGCACTTATCTGTGCTTGCGCACACCCTCTTCCTCGATAACCCCGTCCTTCCCAGATAACTAGTCTCCGTTGACACTGGCCACCATAACCAGAATTCGGTTTAAAAATCACTGAATATTAAAATGTATATTTTATAATTATTTATGATTTCAAAGTTTATTACAAAAACATAAGTATGGTACCTATCTAATTGTACTAACCCTTTAAGCCAAAACATAAAAGTGGGAGGAACACTTTGTTGCAGCTTGTTGGATGGATGGATTTCTACCACCAAGTAAAAAAGGTGGGAAAACCCAGATAGACTCCTATGCTTATACCTTAGATAGAAACGTTTTCTTCTATATATTTTGTAATGTTATACTCAAAATATTAACTATGTAATTTCTTGTTTAACCATTATAGGGTGACACAAATTAAAACATATTCATGGGACAATGCACAAGTGATTTTAGTTGGAAATAAATGTGATATGGAAGAAGAGCGTGTCGTGAGTGCAGAACGTGGCAAGCAACTTGCTGATCAGCTTGGGGTCGAATTTTACGAGACAAGCGCTAAAGAAAATATCAACGTAAAGGTAAGAAACGAGCTTATGGTCTAGGCTCTAGGCATGCATTGAGCTATTATGTACTACGTACTAGAGGCGACACTGCATTTAGCTACGCTGTCCCATTCAATTGTGGCGATGTCGCCGCATTTTACTCAGTCACTCTCTAGGTGCTAGTGAGTAGACAACTCACTAGCACCTAGCGAGTGACTGAGTAAAATGCGTGCCGTGTTAACTATATAAATAAAATCTCTTGATTAAATATGCTATGGTGTGTTGTGCAGAAATGTTAGCAAATAACAAGGAATAACTTTTCATCGGTGAGTAAGATGCATAATTATTAAAAAAGTATTATAGATTAATAATCAAACAAATTATTCCTAAGACGACATCTTGTGTCATAAAATATAAATTATGAAATTAATTTGTTCAGATGCGACGTTTCTGTGGGTAAGTGTAGGGCGATTATATTTTTTTTTTAAATAAATACGCTAAATTTATAATGTTTAAATTTGCTGATTAATCTTTTATTTTATTTTTAGGTTTCCACATGCAAGCCATGAAAACAAGGGAAAAGTGGAATAAATTCGTCCATTTTCGACTCTCGCGTGCCCAGCATTTATAAACGACTCTTATTCTAATCTAAATCAATATATTTCTAAATTAAATGTTATATTAATAAGTTTGGTTAAGCAAACAGTATGTTGTTTTTAATATTTTGAATAGTTAACTTTTATAATATTTAAATAAAAATATCAAAATGTACTTGTGATAAAATATTATCTATTATTATATTAAATTAGCACATATTATATGCAAAATAAATGACATTTTTTAAAAATTGTACTCGATATAATTTGCATAATTAATAATACAATCTATTATTACATACCGATAATTCTACTTCATATTATATGTATGATAAAAACCAACCGTGCATCCGCCATACTACTCTCCCCTGCACATGCACGAAGACGTGATTAGCGCATATTTTTAGTTTGAAATAGCTGTTCTGGTACGTAAGTACACATTAATTCAATGAAGGCATATGGCTTAAATCAAAGTGTCCTGAGTTTGACTTTCGTTGCTACCGCTAAAATCGCTAATAGCGATTTTAAATAATGATCCAAATATATAGATCTATAATGTGTTAAATTGTGCTAAATTATAACTGAAAATATTTCGAGGTACGTGAATGAGAACTTATATATACTTATATACCCCCCAACTCACACTGGAGCAGCATCCTGCTTTAGAACTCTTAGGAGTGGAAAGATGTCTATTTTAGTGCCTCTCCTCTAGAGCGGGCCGATGAAGCTTATAACGCTATTTACCATATAGGGCTTCTTCACCACTTACCAATAGTTGGGGACTGTAGTCAATGTCCCATAATAAGTAAAAAAATATAAACATTTTCGGCGGTTCCTATTATAGTAATATATATGTGTATATAAAATGATCGTAAGTGTAACTTTGTATACATTTAGTTGAAGTTTCTCACTGTCGAAAAAAATAATCACATCTTTCGAAACTCGGTTATTTTATGGAAACTCTATATCAGCGTCTATAAATACACTGAAGGATAAAAGTCTTTTCAAAATGCATCAACTAAATGTATGTAGTCTTAAAATATTTTCTTATTACACATGTAGGTTGATGAATCCAGAATCCCCGCTTTTATTATGTATTTGATTGATAACATTTTGTACAAAAACCTTGTTTTAGACGGTGTTTGAACGCCTGGTCGACATAATATGCGATAAGATGTCGGAGAGCCTGGATTCGGAGCCGGCAATGCTAGCCGGCGGCGCACGCGGCCAACGTCTCACTGAGCAACCACAGAGCAACACTAACCCCAACTGCAATTGTTAATATAACATTTCGATATACATACAATTACAAAAAAATGTTACTGAAACTATTAACTTGACGCCTTGTAATGATTTGTGTAATTCAATGCTTTTTATATCAGAAAAACAGCTCTAAAATTCGCAGAAGAATATTTAATTAACGAATGTTTGAAGTTAAAATATGGATATATGGGCTAAAGCTTCAGCTAGTTTTGCAACTTAAAAGTTTCTAAAAAACTGGATGTACCACAATGCATGATGTTATAAAATACATACCTACATTATTAATTTACGATGTCAGTAGAATATTAGTAATATGTAAGAAATTGATGTGAATGTATCCCTGAATAAAATTATTGTTAAAAACGCATTCTTAATGCTGTAATTTAGAAAATTGTTAAAACTTGTGTAATAATAACAAAGTATATGTATTAGTATTAATAATTTAGATGTTAGGTAGCTCTACTTATATACTGCGAGCTGGAGTAGGGATCTGATCTTATGAAAGTTTCTCGAATCCTTTTATCGAGTCATATTAAGTTGCATTCACCATTATACTTTTTTTTTTAAATTTTGTGTTGTTCATCGAAAACGAAACAAGGTTTTAAGAAATAATTTCCTCTTGCGCAATAACAGTAACATACGAAAAATATATTGCTTTGATGTTATGTTCAATCAAATAGCCTTGCGGAAAATGGACCAAAGTCAAGTTTAAGAATAATTCACCAAATTTCATAGTTTTCAAAGGCGCAAAATATTTTTAGACACATATTTGTTTAAGACTTGTAACTATGTAATATTCATAATATTCAATCCTCGCACGTTTCTTTGCTCATAACTAAATGAGACATTTCATAGTTTACTTATTGTTTAATTGATGATTTTTAATTTGTATTAATATATTATAAAGCTCAGCATTAAGTATTTAATATTATATACTTAAGCGTTGTGGAAGAAATAAAACTAATATGCTTCGAACGTAATACAAAGAAGTCGTGATTGTAAAATGATGTGCTTATAATCTTTGCTTGCGTAATTAATTAATGGAAACTTAGTTATCTCCTATAACGCTGGTTCCTTAAAGCGTTTGTAAATACGTTCATCAATGTGTAAATTTACAACTGTATAGTATAATATCTACGTGCATATAAATCTGTTTGTATTCTTGTTACTATGCTATGAGACTAAAGTAATTATAGCGTTTAATTGAAACACACCCATTGGAAGAGGTAAGTTTGTTGGTTCAATTTCATTGCATCGTCTTAAATACGTAAAAATATTTAATGTATTTTGATCACATTGTATTGTTATTATTATTAGGTTTATTATCTGTAGAAGACATAGACAATACAATTTATATCAAATTCTGTTTAAAATCTGCACATGTTTTTTTAGAATATAATTAATAACGTTAGACTTAATGTGTCATCTTTTGATGAAACCCTTAACAATTATACGTATATTGTTTCGGTCCTACAAAAACAATTTATCTGTTTTTATAAAATGATTAAATTTGTCAAACTCTGCTAAAATATGACATAAGTTTATTCTAGTAAAAAATCTGTTTCTCCAAGTTTTTACAAGATAACCCATCAAGTACAATTTAAACCTAAAGTGGAATTGGACATGAGTAATATGTTGATTACAATGAACTTTTTTCTAAAATAAAACTTTAGTCATATTTCTGAATGTCAATTTTTGCGGATCAATTACAGACAAACTAACGATCCAACTATTGTATGTAATATAACTCAGATATGACAAACTAAATTGTTTTTAAACAATTCAGGAAAGTGCGAAAACTGTTGAAGAGTTAAAACCTTCCAGTATGTGTGTCCCAGCAGCGGACGTGGTGGAGGCATATCGTAGTTAAAACGTTTAGATATATTTTTATGTTTACGTAAAATTAAAAGGATTATTATTTTTAAATACATAACATCTTTGGCTAAATGTGAATACTTTCTTTACATAGCTACCAAATTAATTTAGATGATATTAGTTTATCTGACACAAGTGTAGTTGTTCACGGCAAAAATTAATAATCATTTAGCTGTATTTATAAATGTACGTTAACATTTGTTGTGTGTTAATAAAGAAGTTATTTAAAAAAAATACAGAGATATCTGTGTAAGAGATTTAACGATATAATATACAGACATATATACAAAATGTTTTTTAATTACTGTTTTTACAAAATCACAATGAATAGCTGATTTTGATTTGTCATTCATTCATTCTTTATTATCAAAAAAGCCCACTGCTATATTTAGGACTATATATTATATACATATACATATACAAGGTGTGCCAGAACGTAACGATAAAACGAAACGGGGTTGTAGACCACGTAAGGTTTTTACAAAATCACAATGAATACCTGATTTTGATTTGTCATTCATTCATTCTTTATTATCAAAAAAGCCCACTGCTATATTTAGGACTATATATTATATACATATACATATACAAGGTGTGCCAGAACGTAACGATGAAACGAAACGGGGTTGTAGACCACGTAAGGACTGTTTCAAAAAAAATCCTATACCCAAGTTGAGTGGTTTAAAACATAAAGGGTGATTCATGAATTTTCCAGAAAGTCACCCTTTGCGTCAATATTTTTGATGCTGCAGCTGCAAATGAAGACCGATTTTAATTTTTTCTGTTTTGTATAGCCTAATCATATGATTAGGAGTTTTGGCGTTTGGAATTAGGCATGCCTACTATAAATACTATTTTATTTTTCAGTACCTATTACGGTTTGGTAGAAATAAATACATAAAAATTCGTAAAAGTGTAAAAATGTAACATTAAAGTTTTATCGAGCAAAGTTGGACCCTGTTGGACAAAGTTAGATATCACCTATTAAAAAAATCCAATGGATTAAGGTCCGGCGACCATGCTGGCCATAATTTAGGCCCCATGCGAACTATCTATTTTCCTGGGAAATCTTAATTTAACAAGTTTCTCACCGGCAAAGCGTAATGGGCGGGGCAACCATCATTCTGTAAGCACATATCTTGTAGGGTTGCTAGTGGTAAGTCTTCTAATAAAATGGGCAGGTCTCTTCTAAAAAATTCCAGGTAGACCTGCCTATTTAGTGCTTCTGGGAATTCCAAAGGTCCGATTATGCGCCCGTTAATAATACCGGTCCACAGATTTACTTTGAATTGATATAGATACCTTTCTTCGCGCATTAAATGCGGGTTTACCATACTCCAACTATTTATGTAGTGCATGTTTATAAATCCATCTTTCATGAAAGTTCTTTCATCCGTCCATAAAATATTATTTAGAAAATTCGGGTTTTCTCTATGAATTTCTAGCATCCTCCTGCAAAATGCTACCCTCGGAGCATAATCCCGTGGCAAAAGAACCTGCACTTTTTGGTAGTGGTAGGGGTGGTACCTATTGCGTTGGAGCACCCTATGTATAGTTGTCTTACGTATTCCTGTCAAGAATGCAATGTTACGAACAGAAGTTCGCGGATCATATTCAACCTGCTCCAAAACTTCGTCTTCAATATCAGACTTCTCTTCCACGTGCAGGTACTACCGCTCCAGTAAAAAAAAAACCTTTAGCTAGCCTCTGATGCACATTCATAAATACACGATAGGATATCGTTCTTCGTCAGGGTACCTCTCACGGTAGAGTATAGCTGCAGCTCGAGCATTACCACGGTATTCACCATAAATAAAATGCTTTTTGGCATATTGAACTGGAGTGTATTGCACCGGCATTGTTTAATAATATCCAATCACAAAGAGCCAAAGTCCACACCAAAAGAGTATCCACAAAGTCCAGTTGAAAGCCAAAGTCGTCGCCAAGAGAGTATCCACAAAGTCCAGTAGAGAGCCAAGGTCGTAACCAAAGGAAGAGCCACAAAGTCATGTAGAAAGCAGAGTCAAATAGTATTAAAACACCGATGAGAACAGTAAAACAGGTGAAGCGTTCGATGCGAACAAAATAGGACAAAGTACTATTTATTTATTTCTTTGATTTCGTTGTTGAAGACAAAGGATACGGGCGAGGTAAGGGAAGGGATCTTACCTACCTGAGCTGTGCATAGTTCTAGTTACTTCCCTATCTTCGATTTCGCTAGCACTTACATGTAAGTGCAAGTGCAAGAAGTAATTCTATGCGTCATAGCAACTAAAGCTGAGAACCTAAAACTAAGGATGACGCATATAATCGTATTGTGTCGTAATTATGAATGTGTTTTGTTAATACCAAAATTGATAAAAAAATTGAACTACTTTTTACTTTTCTATGGATATTAGGTCTGAAATCGTCTAATTCAGCGTGAAAACGAATTTTTTTTCTTTACATTAGTCGAACGGACGAATTATTTAAAAAAAATGTCTAATTGAGTTATTTGCACAAAATCTACCCTCTGCCTAAGATGTTATTAAAAGTATAGATACGTCATACTCGCTCTAAAATGGCAATATGAAAGTCAGGTAATCGCATTCAGTCGGGTACGCTCTCGCGTCGCGGCTATACCTTCGCTACAGCGCGTAAATCTTCTAGTTATTCGGGGCAAAAATGCCTTACTGTGTTTTTAGGTGGTGCACAAATTACACGACAACTGTTAGAGACAAGAAAAACGTCTCATTAATATTTTGAATATAGATGTTTTACTCACAATTGGTTTTATTATTTCAACACTAACCGCTAGTGTAAACTTTGACGCTAGCTTGTGTGTTCATTTTGCATATCGGTATGTCACGCGCTCGCGCCAATGAGCGCTCGGCAGCAATCAATACGCAACTAATGATGTAAATTCATCTTTTTCTAACGATACGTATGCCCTATACGTACGATACGTATCATTTGTCTCTTTTTGTTAGCGCAACGTTTCATAATAAATAACTGTACGTAGATATATAGTATTACTTAAAATACAATAATGTTAGTGTGTAACCTGTCTATCTTTATTAATACGTCTTTGCCCTCTACGAGAAAAAAAATTATAGCACAAAAAAATGAAACAAAAGTACCAAGTATTATACAATTTTGAAATCT